GAAGTGATGCAAATGTTGTATGATGGAAATCATACTGAAAAGCCGTCAGCTGTCTTCATACCTGTAATAGACATGAATCCAAGTGGCGTGTCCTGTATCTACTCTGCACTGGAGTTCGTGTGTGTTCATGTAAAATAGTACAATGTGACCCCAATCACCATCTTTGGTCAGCCATTCTGATGGAAGGCCCCAATGATTATAAAAGGTGAGCTACAAAATAGTGATTTTCAAAAACTGGTACTCTGACTGGGTTGTTTTTATGTTAAGATTACCTTCCTTGGTTGTATGGACCATTTTATAGCAGGATCAGGAATTGGGAAGTTGCTGGAAGTCATATATGTTACAAATTCTGCAGGACATAGGATGGACAGTAAGGCACTAGCACGTGCTGCAAGACACCACAGCCAATACATTAATTCTGTCAAAGCTGTACAGCACCATCCCTTCCTCAAACATCTCTAAAGGAATTGTGTGATGATGCAAAGGATTTAAGTACAAACTCCGTGATCTCGGATTTGCCAGTGGGAATGGTATAGGATGCTAAGCTATTGGTGAACTTCAAGTAGGTCCAAGTAAAGTACAATCTACAGTTTGCACTGAAAAAACATATGCGGCAAGTGGTGATTTGCAGTAGTTTTAGTATATTAAGCAGTCTACTGTTTTAAGTATCACAAAGGAAAACTTGCAGAAGAAAAAGTATCAATGAAAGTTTAAGGACAGCAAGACTGTGGCTTCAATACATGGATTTGTTCAACATATTACAACATTTTATCAAAGTTTGGTACAAAGAAAATTGGAAACTTCACCTACAGCCTTTGCATGAGATGTTGCAATACTTTGCAGCTTCTGGTCACAACCTCTGCAAAGTCTATCTGCTTGTATTTGCTGGTGTCAAAACTTCAGAAAGAACATCCAATGACCTAGAGCAACTTTGAGGCTAGACATCATGTTGACCAAAGAAGTGAGCAGTTCTGGACTGACTTTTCCTCACATCTTATTATTGGAAAGTATTCATATGAAGTATGAAGACAAGTAGAGGAGCAGAGGAATGATTAAGTTACAACATGTCATATAGTTGCTGTCAATGTCATCGTTTGAAGAAGTCAACAGTGTAATGTATGAAGCTACTAGAGTGTCATACACCACAAATTAGCAGAGCAAAGACAACACACTATTGAAAGGGATAGGTAGGACATAGAGGAGCTCTTTCTCTTTCTCCAGGACAGGAATCTCTTCAGTCCTGACCTAGCTCTTCACAATGTTGCAAGATGCTGTTGTTAATTTAGAGAGGTCCAAAGAGGTTGTGCTTAAGATCTTAGAGTCAATGACAGAAAATTATGTAACTGAGCACTCATGCAAAAAAAAAATTATCAGTCAGACTGATCACCAGAAGTTCATTGAAGATGAATGGAGAAACAGTGGAGATTGATCATCCCCAGTTCTTGTTTCAGCGCTATATTGTTTCTGTACAGTACATGGAAGACAGAGAGCTTATTTTTAGATAGGAGTTGTGTGTACTCATCCTCCAACTCTATTTTGACTCAGGAGAACTGATGAGAAAAACCAACACACCAGCATTAGCAAATACAATGTAGTCTGTTAACAACCCAAAGACATGTGAATCATCAGCCCATGTTCAATATGTTCTAGATAGTAACTCATTCTTGCAGCAGCTTCTATGACCATGTGCAATGACTTATGATGACATTAGCAAGCAGAAATTATATGACAGCAACCATTATGTTCAATAGATAAGAGAAAGGGCCATCCACCAAAGATACTACATAAAAACGGCACTATAAAAGATGCATTTTACTCACAGTGAACTTTGCAGGAGATATGATATACAAATCAAAGAAGACGCAATTCCTACTGAACATACAAAACAAGTAAAGGTTCAACAATTTTTCTAATGCAAAACTAGAAAGCCATGAATGCAAGAAGTATTATGCAAAGTAGGATGCTGATCTTTTAATAGTTTAGAAGGCAGCGAAGTCAGCATATTCAGTCAGCACAATTCTTGTTGGTGAAGATACGAATCTCTTGGTGTTCTTCTGTCACTATGCACGTCTTGAAGGATGTGAACTGTTCTTCACATCCGAGCAAAAGTAAAATGCTAAGAAAAGAGTAGAAGTCTGGAACATTAAAGCAGTCAAACAAAGACTTGATAGAGAAGCATGCAAGCACATCCTCTTCACTCATACAGGCTTAGAATGTGATACTACATGAAGAATGTATCATCTTAGCAAAGGCATAGAACTGAACAAGTATGAGAGTGATGACCACTTCAGACAACAGGCAGCTGTATTCAGCAACCAGTCTGCTACAAAGGAGGAGGCTGCAAGCCATTCTGCAATGATATCCTTTTATGATGGTAAACCAAGAGATGAACTGGACTGTCTTTAGCACGAGACGTTCTGCCGAAAGGTAACTACAAGTACAGCTGTCGTCCATCCCCAGAACCTACCTCGAACTGAGGCAGCCACATGCTACTATAGCTTGCAAGTATATTATCAAGTGCAGCAATGAATGTGGGAAGGGGAGAAGAACTGAGCCCTCTAAATTGAAGATGGAATCTCATAAATTGAAGACTAGTCTCGTCCCTACGGACTCAGTTCTTCTTCCGACACCACCTACTCTCCTCAATACAATTAGGTGCAACTACAAAATATATTGTGCTTCAGTGAGATGTAGTTGTAGGTGTCAGTTGTGCCAATGCCACACAGCCTAACAATAACAGTATATTTGATGAAGACAGTGATTGTGACAATAATGTGTATAAAATTGGCATGAAATTCTGCATTGGCTAATCAATAAACTGCACTTATGTACAAAAGAAATGAGAATATTCCATTTAATGTTTCTGAAAATAATCCATTGAGCTCTGTGAACATAATTTCGGAGTACTTGATTTTACTTGACATAATATTGAGATGTCAAATATGTCAATCATTTTCAGTTATTATTGTGCAATATAGACATTTGTCTTGTAGTTTATCGTGAACTTAGACCCCCAGTGGCACAACGATATGTCTGCGGACTTACAACGCTACAAACCGAGGTTCGATACCCGTTGTGGGCGGAGCACAAATAGCCCATTGTGTAGCTTTGTGCTCAATAACAAACAAATAATTATCGTGAACATAATATTGGATACATTTTCTTTTCACTAGTTAACTGGTATTACCACAGACTGAATAGATAAACAATAGGGTCCCGTAAATTATGAGCATTCGAAGTGTACCTGCGGACATTAAAACCACTTTCATCTTTAAAAGAGTGACTTAATGGTAACAAAAAATTTTACATTTATATACATTGATAAATATTTAAAATTCTTTAATAGAAATCTATTCTTAACTATGTTCCACCACTTATATTTTTCAAAACTTTTGATATGTTCTTTAAAATGTACTTGTAAAAATATAAGACAGCAAGATTCATTTTTGTTGCAATTAGTTATGGGTCAAACTGTATATTGATTAGACTACATCTTCGATCGATCTTTGACTACAGGGTATCATTGTCAAACACGAAGGTAGTGAGTATTACTTATTTTCCAGCAACAATATCAAGCAAGTTATTTCATTGATTGTTGTATTTATTATAACTAATTTTAACTTTTGTAACTAGTATTATTCTTTATTATATTGTTAACTTAGTTTATGGATTTAGGTCTAGCCTAATTTTATTAACCTTCTCTCTAAAGGTAGGTTAACGTGCGCATGTCACGACCTTTTACAGAGTTCTGGCCGAGCCACGTATAGTTTTTACCACAATGTGGTAGGTCTTTTTTGAAAGTGATAATTCTACCAAAGTAAGGACAAGTATATTGTTTATTAGAATATGTTGTATATCTACTTTTCTTAATTAGTTTTAATTATGTCTAATTTTATTTTTGGTCTTTATTATTTTACTATAACGATTATTTTAAATATTTCTGATTTTATCTTAAGCTGCCCGAGCCAAATATAACTTTTACTGCGGTATGGTAGTTCATATTTGTATATTGTCCTAAACATGTGAAACTTTTACTCAGTGCGGACACATGCTGTTGGCTAGAAGATTTATTACATATAATATAATTTTATGTACATTACTTTTTACAATTATTATTCTGCATTTAGCTTTGTATGTGAATTTAGGATAGTCCAAGAATCCTAAGTTGGTCAAACCTCGTGAGATATTATTGGTTTGCGACTGAAAATATCGTTAATCCTTATAAATAGCCTAATTTGTATATTATTCTAATTAGTAGTATAATTTAATATTTTAAGTACTATAGTTTGAACATTATATTTAATTAGCTATACATGTTTTCCCGAAAGGGAACTTAAGGTCGCCTACAGGGCTCACCTGTTTTCACCACTCGCACCAGTATACACTAGTGTATTGTCTGCCAGTCAATCAGTTGACACTTAATTGACGTCTAATTGACGTCACGTAAGGGACACATAACGTTGCTATTTGTACTATCGTGACGTCAGTAGAACGTGCGCATGCCATAAATCACGAGAATAATTATGTACTCTGTAAACTACAACACAGCATGACATATGAACTTCAAAAGTGAGAAATAAAACTATTTTTTACTCTTAATTTTGGTTTTATTTCCTCTTGAAGTACAACTCTTTCGGGGACCCTGCGGAAGTACATCTAGTTACCAAGTATACATGTTTAGTTCTATTCCATGTATCCATGTACGTAGCTTGCTTTGAACACAAGTTAACATTAATATCACAAGGGTTTCCTAATGTTATTATGCTCAAGTACTCAAGGAAAGAAAGATACACTGTCCTACAACGTAAACATTAAAAACTCTCAATTATTCATGCCTTTCAACTTCCCATCACTACTTTCGTTATTCTGGATTAAACAAATTCCGGTTGGTGTAATCGACCATAATGATAATGTCCGTATATCACCTGTCAGAGAGAAATATATTTCTCATGTTAAGAGATAAATATCTTATTGAGGGTCTTTTATCAGTTATTCACTGAGAATTCAACAGGTGTATAGAGATGAAGAAAAGCAACTCCAGCCAGACTTACCATCCGTATTTGTTTCAGCCGTTCCTCATATAGAAACACTATGAAAACAGTTCCCGTGATAGCGATTCTTTTAATCGGTCTAGCTTCGGGCGATGTTGTCAATAGTAAGTTTTTCAGTAAAGTCATTTCTGTAATATTTAAATTTTACTCTTAAAAGAATTTTTAAAAAGATATTATTATAGACAAATATTAACTATTCTGGTTGATAACCTTCTAAAAACTTATTTCCTTGAATTGTATTATGATTGAAAACTTGAAGAAAAAGAATGACATACGGGGTAGATATACATATATCATAGTTAAGGATCCTAAAATTTAACGATTTACAAATATTTATTAACAAATTATGGAGTTGAGTGTCAAACGCGAAAACGTTAAATAAGTTTTAGAGAAACAAAAAATATTATTTGATTTTAATCATAACATTTTAGTTTCTAATATGAATCCCACTTTAAGAGATCTTATATCCCTTATCAACGCTTTATTTTCTGTCCTTAAATCTTTCAAATACATTTTTATCTCTAGCCTTGAGTTAAGAGGCCCTTTTAAAGATATGTTTTATCTATGATCGTGAGTATTGAACGTTTTATCCCTTTGAAGAAATATTTTACCCCTAAATTTGATTTGTAATTGAGGTGGTTAAACTATTTAGAGCCAAAGAACACGACATTTCGAAGACGGTTATCTTCTATATTTTCCATAGAATTGAGAAAACTCGCTCAGCAGAACGTAAAGTCGACGATAGCTCACAATCTACCAGTCACACGTCAAAATCAACGAATGTTGCAATGTAAAAGACAGTCGAAATGACTAGAGGCACAGAGCAATCTCATTGGACCACAAATATGTCAGGTCTCCTGATATAGTTGTAGTAGATTTGTGTACCTTTATTCTACGTTAAACTTTATTTCGAAAGCTGACGTTCTATACAGTGGACGGCTTATAAAAACGTTTGTTAGTGGTTTAAGGTCTTGTCGACCTTCGAAGAAAATTGTTACAATGAAATTTTCAGCATCAGGCATTAGTGCCCAAAACCATGTTCCCCAGACTGAGCACAATCAACGATGAAGACGTTTATTCTAAAGGTAGCAAGAGACCTGAACATTGTTCATATAAAGTGCGATTATTCATCACTGGTGTAAGCAGTACCATTTGTGTGCATCTTGTGTTCACTTTTCTCGGTTATTTATCCTAAGTGCATTTTACTATCTATCGATCTATCCTTATACGTAACAGTTTGTCTATCAGCCTAAATCCACTTGTTTGATTTCTGATCAATCTTGTATTTTTGTTTTCAGGCTAAACTGAATCTTTAATTTTGTATTTTTTTGTGTGATTACCGAAAACCCTGACGATCTTTAGAAGGCTTTAGATGCTGATGTATCAACGGTGATTCTTGGGTGGCGCCCATTTCCTCTCCAGGTAGCCGTCCTTAATTTAGCAGTGAAAGACTAAAGAGGAGCACCGAGTCAACACATCTACTACTAACTCTTGGGCTACTCTGATACCAACGAATAGTGTGATTGACCTTCACACTATAAAGCTCCCACGGCTATAAGAGCAACGGAGTTTCAAACCCGCAACCAGCAGATTGCGAGTCGAGCGCCTTAACCACCAAACCATGCTAGGCCTTCTTTAATTTGTAGTCGACTGGATGTCTCTCTACTTTCTATTCATATATATATATATATCTACATCTTTTTGTTTGTTAGCTTATGTATTCGTTTGGTCATGTACTATATAGCTATCTTTCATCAGCAATTGTATTTTACTTTATTATTTTTAACCTTGAGACGTCATTTTATTTTATTTAATATATTACTGTTTTTCAAGATATTGATAAAGATGTGGAGTCGACGATTCAACTGTTGCAAAAAGGCATGGCTAGAGCAGGCAAGTTGCATCAAATAATGACGATGCCAAGCTCAGAAGAATTGAAAAAGTAAGTATGAGACATGATTTGTAGAAACAAAAGAGAAAAATACTGCGAACATATATATATTATTCATGATGCTAAAATGTTACGAGAGTCAATGTCAGTCAAGCCTTACAATAATTTATTTTACAGCTTGATTACTTTATTTTCATAAACAAGTTAAGGTTTATAACTGTTAAAAGGCAAAGAATTTGATGTAGTCGTAGCGAGAGAGCTTACTCGTCAGTTATGTCAGTGTATATAAATATCCGGTATATATTAGGGGCGGATCCAGGATTTCGGAAACGGAAAGCCAGATTCGAGAATTTTAGAATTTGCATTCCGCTTCCTGGAATTTGTTTTCCATTCGACAAATTAATTTTCACATTAACTTATAAACTTTCCACCTTTAATAAGATGGTGATCACTTTATTTACTTTGTTGAATGTACTTTATATGTCGATCATTTTATTCCTTTTCAGTGGTGAAAACTGTGTGCTCTAGTTTTTACCATAAGTTATTGTAGAAAATGACCAGAACTGTGTTAAAATTACAAATATATATATATATATTACAATTATGTTCCACTGTATTTCTTTATGATAATTTATTGCCTCATTTGTGTGGTGCACGTATATATAGGATATTATATCTATATATAAGATCTTTTAGTGGGTCAACTGTAAACTATGGATTTCGATTCCCCGTGGTGAACAGAGCGCAGATACCCTATTGTACAGCTCTGCTCTAAAACAATCAAAACTCTACTTAAGTTTTTGTACACTCTTTAACAAGAAAGTGACTCATATAATTTGATAAAATACGCGTCATCCCTGATGATCAGAACTGTGGCAACTTAATTAAATTTGTGGAAACCTCTCTCTTGCAATATTCGATATCAAAATGAACAACTAATGAGTGGAAAAGTTGAAATACTTTTCATGTACTGGTAATATTTACAGAACTATATCAACCATGACGTTATATATTTTTTCCATTAAACCTACAACCACAACATGTGGACGAAATGTTACATTTCTTAAGCTCATTTTAAACAGTAATTTTTACCATTTTTATCAAAAACGTCGTGGTGCACAACTTGTCGCATTTCTAAATTGCTTTCTGTTTAAATATTAAAAATTACAAAGAAGCACTCGTTTTTAAATGTCGGCTAAAAGAAAGGAACACAGTGTAAAATATTATTCTCTCTGTCTTTTACTACATATTTCTGATATTACTAAATAATTTTCGAAGCTGCGTATATTTGGTTATGATTAAGAGCAGTCGATATTTTTTTAGTTAAATAAACGAATATATTAAGATTTTTTAGGGCAACCGAATACTAACACACCAACAGATGGAGTGGGTGGGTGTTTTTCTTATAACAAAGCCACATCGGGCAGTCTGTTGTGTCTGTTGAGGGGGGAATCGAACCCCTCACTTCAACGTTGTAAATCCGAAGACTTACCGCTGTCCCACTGGGGGACCAAATGGAGTGGAAAATGACGCGTTGGGTTATTTGCAAAACAATTTACTTCGATAGATATACAGATATCAAAACAGAATAATGTTTTTGTTTTTTGTTGTTGTTTTTCAGTATAGATAAAAAAGTGAAGAATGTGCTTACCACGGCTTTTAAGGAGACACTACTGAAACTGGTCAAGCGGGTCAAGAGAGAAACTGACCATACAAGAGCCATGCTTAAAAACATACATGAAAAAGTACGATATATTTGGCGTATATATATGTTGATTTTATATATATTAATTGAAAGTTTGAAATACAATTATGTTTATCATTTATTGAGCATGAATTTTCACGTTGGTTTCTTTAACCTAATTTATTTCGATTACATAAAAAGCAGAAACGCTGCCCGACTGGCGGCAGTTTGTGTTAGTACTTACTAATCATAGTATTAAATTGTAATGTTCTTTATATATTGAAAATGGAATCGTTTATTGAAGAAATAATAGTTTTTAAGAACTGCAGTTTCTCAGTACAACATTTAAAAATTACATCAATAAAGATATAATCAAACCCACCCTCACGTACAGTCCTAATGAAAGTCGTGTTATTGTTGTGAGGAGAGTACTTTTATTTAAAATTGTGTTCTATTATAAAGAAATGGTTGTTGCACATACCACAGTTATTTTCTAATTGTCTGAATTTTGAATACCAAAACTGTGAAAATGTTATGGATTTTTGTTTGTGGTGTCGTTTAATAGATGGCACAGGAGTTTTGGTAACTTACATATATACTGACATACACGTTACGTTCATTATAGTAAGAAGATTAATGAGTTGGTAAGTCTCAGGACTGAAATCACGTAACATATTAAATTCGGAGACGAATTGCTTTCTGGTGGCTCAACGATCAGTTTGAGGGCTTATAACACTAAATATCGGGGCTATATCCCTGTGCTTATTAACAAATAAATTAAAGACGTGCTGCCTGTTTTCAAAAACTGACATAAATGTGTATCATTTAGTAAGCCAAATCCATCTTAGAATAGTATATAAAATAAATTTAAAAACATATTTTCTGTACCATTTTCTTTGTTAAAACGGAATTGTTTATTGTGACATATTAATATTTTATTCTTTACTACGTAGGCTAATAAATCAGGAAAGTTGTTATACATTTACAACATTTTCTTTTAAATGAACAGTAGCTATGGTTATTTCTTCATGTTGAATTTGCATATGAAACCAACTGTAAAATATTATTAATTTTACTCCTCCCTGTGTGATAATGAAACAGCAACCAGAAGTGCGAGAATACATACAAAATTATAGAAAGGCTAGAAAGACTCCCCGAAAATAAATAATTATCAATTCACTATTTATACTAAACACTTTAAAATGAGTACCAAAATTTAGTTTCACGGATAAATAACTTATATGTTGCTTGTTTTTTCATGTAGATCACCTTATTCTTCATCTCTATTTAGTGACTTCATATCTTCATCTTAATCATCACTGTCATAAATAAGGGCACATTATAGCATATAAATTGGTTAGAATTATCAGTTAGCAGGGGTTTTTCTTTGTATAAAAGAATTTTCTTTGAGAGAAAATGAGACGAAACTAAATCCAAACAGCCTAATTATAAGTTTACATTTATCTGTGTTTACAGAGTGTATATGTCTGCCTATGTTCGCATTTATATGTCTAATACTTTTATGGTTTATATTCGATCTTATCTGTAGATTTAATAACAGTTATTCAGCAATGTGTTTTTTACTACAAAGTTCTACTGTGATTTTCTCTTTTTGTAATTTTTGGTAGGTGGAGAAGCTCAAACTTAAAATCCCTGAGCTTCAAGCACAAGGAAAGTCTAAAGAAGAAATAATTAACCTGGTGAAACAAAAAGCAAGGAGCTATTTAAGACAAATGCTAGATGGTGTTAAAGCTGGTAAGATAACAGAAAGATTTAAAATGCACTGTATAAAATAGTTTTATATGTAGTTTGTTTGTAATTAAGCACGAAGCTACACAATGGGCTATCTGTGCTCTGCCCACCACTGGTATCGAAACCCGATTTCTAGTGTTGTAAGTCCGCAGACATACCACTGTGCTACTAGGGTGCTTTTATAGGTAGAGATAATGAAATTAATAAGGATAATTAATATGATACGTACACATACCCTAAGCGAAAATATTGTTCATTTATAAAGATATCGCAATCCAAGTGAACAGTTTGATGGAAACTAGGGTAAAACTTTACTCTGGTGCAAATATTTATATAATAAATAAGAGGTTATTTATCCTACTATTTGCAAGATACACCATCTTAGAACGACCCCAAAGTGCTTACTAGTTTTGGTTAATGTGGTATTTAAGCTATGATAGGCTTACGAAAGAGTCTTAATTCTGGAAAAAATAGATTTTGTTTACATTTTTTAAAAATGGTATAATAAAACATTCATATTTCAAATTTTGATTACCTTAATCTCATGTGTAATTGCTACTTTTACGGCCCCAGTGGCACAGCGGTATGTTTACGGACTTAAAACGCTAGAAATCGCGTTTCAATACCCGTGGTGGGCAGAGTACAGACAGTTTATTGCGTATCTTTGTGCTTAACTTTAAAACAAGCAAACTTCCTAGCGAAAATGAATTTAAGTTTAAAATGACATTATTACACCACTCACTTATTGTGTTTTAAAAATAGTTAAACCAAAAGAAATGTTCGTCATTTTTCTGTAAAGTTGCCAATTTTTAATGAGGTATCTCCAAAAATTAATGAGGTATTCCAAAAAATAGTGTGAGTACTCCTCGGGTAGGTGTATAAGCCATCTTCATTTTTTAAGCAGAAAAAATATAAAATACGACTACTAGGAATTATGAAATTCAATTGTTTATAAAATTGAATGAAATTTAGAAAAATGACCTAATATTTATAAATCAAAACAATATTCCTATTAGAAATACAAAGATGCTTTTAAAAGAAAACGTAAAGGTATAAGTGAAGTTCGCGCAAAGCTACACGAGGGATATCTCTACTAGCCATCCCTAATTTTACGATGATGAATTAAAAGAAAGGCAGCTAGTCAACACCACCAGTGTTCCCTCTATACTGTGCGGCTGCGCAGCCGCACAACAGCCAATAAAATACCGCGCACATCCTCAGTAATGGCGAGGAGTCTCAAACATGTTGACGGCCTTACAGACCCTAGCAGTCAATAGGCCTAAAGCCCAAATAACCAACTGGTATCATTGCATAGCGGCCTAATAATCTAATATGGTCGATGGTCGAAAATACCCCACTCTAAAAAAACTGGTAGCGCACATCATGGTGCACATGAAAAAATTCATTCCGTACGTGGATTGAAAAAATTAGAGGGAACATTTCCCACCACCAATTCTTGGGCCAATCTTTTATTAACAAAAAGTTTGAGTCATCCTCACATTATAACGCCCTCATAGCTGAAAAGTTTATATTTATATATTATAAGAATGCTGAATTGTTCAGAAAATAGGTAACTTAACCTGTTAGAAATAATAAAATGTTTTAAAAGGAAAACGAAAGCAATGATATAGGTAATACGCTGATTTTCTAACAGAAAAGCTCTAATCAAGTCTTGCTTTCAAAAATTACAAACTCTTTCTTTTACAGTGAGATAAATAATCTTTACTTGTGCAGTTTAAACAATAAAATGTAACTTTATTCTAGCACTTTTGTAACATATAATATGCTCCTTAATGAGATAATCTGTCAGTATTTTTAATGCTGTAAAATTATTCTTTCCGGCATTGACGTAAAATAAGTATTTGAAAGTTAACATTTAAGATAACGATGTTCTGCTGTTATCTGCCATTAAAATGCATGTACAAGACTGTTATTAGATAAGGAACAACAATGAATAATAAGATAAGCAAAATAAAAATAAATTTGACCTACCGTATTTTTCGGAATATAAGACGCACCTGTGTATAAGACGCACCCTTATTTTGAAGACAAAGTTTTGGGGGAAAAAAAGCTACAGTCGCATTTGAAAGATTTCTATTGAACAAAAATTGAATTAGTATATATTGTTCTAAACACAAAAGAGCTCAAAACATCAAAATAAGAAAATACCGTAAATCAAAAAATAGTTTACTGTTATTTAGTTTGGTTCAAAACCTACAAAATCTTCATTGCTTTCACTGTAATTTATTTTTTTATTATTTAGGGAGCATTATAAAAAGTTATGTTTTTAAAAGAAAAAAACTACCATTGTTATAAATAGCACATTCAATTGAACTAAACTATGCATGCCTATTTAAATATATTTACACATGGCTTGTGTATATCGTATATATTACATATATATTATTCATACCTTCGGTGTATAGGACACAAGCAGATTTTGACATCAAATTTTGGGGTAAAAAAGTGCGTCTTATACACCGAAAAATACGCTCATTGCGTGCATCATGAACTGTTGAATGTATCCATACCTTGATTATATAAGTTAAAAGTGGAAGTATGGAAAAAATTAACAAAATAAAGTAAATTATTTAAAACTCTTTAAAAAATGAAAATAAAAAGCACTGAAACAGATGAATAAGAAATTAATATATTTCTTCTAAGATTACTTGCAAGATTAACAAAGTTATTTGATATTAGTAATGTGGTGGAATGTCATAGCTGCTAATTACTGAATGAGTTTTTTTAACGCGTACAAACCATTAAGAACGTTTTAGGCATTTATCGAAACTTGTAGAACGAGCAGGGCAATGCAAATATCATGCGATGACTTTTGGCTTGTATATAAAAGTGAATAACAGCGAGGTGATCAAGTTGTTTTCTAAAAAAGTAAAATGCACAATGAAATGATAAGTAAATTTAGTTGAAAAATATTTATAATATAATCACGTTGGCAGGAATCCTGTAAGTTGTTCAGTTTGTATTATAGATTAATATATTAATAACTCAACAATGAAAAATGGGCCCGGCATGGCCAGGTGGTTAGGGCGCTCGACCCGCAATCTGAGGGTCGCGAGTTTGAATCTCCGTCCCGCCAAACACGCTCGCCCTTTCAGCCGTGGGGGCATTATAATGTGACGGTCAATCCCACTATTCGTTGGTAAAAGAGTAGCCCAAGAGTTGGCG